CTCCTAGTTGGAAAGACTATATTGTTATTCCCATTCTTAAATCTAAGAAACCTCCCGAATTTCCGGAATCATACAGGGCGATATCTTTAGCATCATGCGTATTAAAAACGTTTGAAAGAATTATTAAAACAAGATTAGAAGAATGGATGGAAGAAAATAAACAATTTCCAGAGACACAATTTGGTTTTAGAAAAGGTTACTCCATAAATGAAAACATAGGACAATTGGTTGCAGACATAAACATTTCTTTCTCAAAAGAAAAATCTCTAACAGCTATATTTGTGGATATTGAAGGGGCTTACGATAATGTCAAATTAGACATTTTGCATGATCAAATGGAATATATAGGGCTACCATCAGAATTCACATCGAGAATTTGCACATTATACTCAAATAGAAACATCTTCATAAGGATACAAAATGATTTGTTAGAGCCTAGGTTAGCTAATGTTGGGCTGCCACAGGGGGGAATACTAAGTCCCTTGCTTTATATAATTTACACATCAGATTTGCATAAGATAGCAATAAACAATAATAATATTAAAGTGCTAGAATTTGCTGATGACGTATGCATATATCAAGAAAATATTTCAAATACTACAATTCAACCAACAGAATTATCAGACAGTTACACTTCTCTGCAGAAATGGTGTAATTCTAAGGGTATGAATATATCTACAAAGAAAACTCAGCTTTGCATTTTTTCCAAAAAAAGAAATTTACCATCTAAATTAAAAATTAATGAAGAAGATTTTGAAGTACAGTCAAAAATCAAATATCTGGGAATCATACTGGATAGAAAACTGTTGTGGAAAAATCACATAGAATACTTAATAAATAGAGCAGAGAAAGGAGTAAATGTCTTAAGAGCAGTAAGCCATATGAGCTGGGGAGCAGATCCGAGTACATCCCTTCTTTTTTATAGATCCTTCATCAGATCAATCTTAGACTACGGATCTATATTTTATTCTCAAGCAGCACAAACACATTTAAAAAAACTGGAAATAGTATCAAACAAGTGTATTCGACTATCACTAGGAGCAATGAAAACTACACCAATTACTAGTTTATATGTAGAAGCTGTAGAAATGGCACTAACCAATAGAAGAAAATATTTAACATACAAATTCATCTTTAAATTGCACGAGAAACAAAGTAAATTATTAAATAAGATTCATGAATTATATATTTTAGATCTAACAACAAAATATTGGCAAAAAAAATCAACTTTAACAATATTAGAAGTTTATGCACAATACCTACTTGTTACCAATGAAATAGAAATAAAAACAAGAAATCACTTAGAGGTAGATAAGGATCTAAATGTAAAATATTTAAGAAACTACTCGGAATACCCACACAAGATAAGAAACTTGATGTTTAGAGATGATATGCAAACACTTTTTCCATATCATCATCAGTTGTATACCGATGCTTCAAAAATAAAATCGCAAGTGGGTATCGCTTGTTGGGATCCGCTCAACAACGCAAGAAGACAAAGCCGATTGAAGGACAAATTTTCTACATACTCAGCGGAACTAATAGCCATATTGGAAGCCTTACACTATGTCCAAGAATTGGACAATAACCAATTTGTAATTATCTCCGATTGTAGAAGTGCCTTGGAAAAAATCAAAAATGTAACAGACAAATCAAAAATTAATAACATCATTGAGGATATAATAAGAACGGTATATAATCTGGAATTATCTCAGAAACATGTAAAATTTGTGTGGGTTAAAGCTCATTGTGGTATAGTTGGCAATGAAAAAGCAGATGAGCTAGCAAAAAACGCCATAGAAGAAGGAAAGAAGACAAACTATAAATGTTTAAAAGAAGATATGAACGCGTGGGCAAAGTCTATGACCATAAGCAATTGGAAGGAGGATTACCAAAACTCAACGAAAGGTCAGTTTTATAAAAGTATTCAACCGGATATTCCCAGTAAACCCTGGTTCCAAAAATCAGAATTAGATAAGGTAGTGATATCGAAAATTTGTAGACTAAGATTCAATCATACATTAGTTGAGTCACATTTATTTAAAATTAATCTTCAGGATTCGCCCTTGTGTGATTGCGGAGAGGAAGGAAATGCAGAACATAAAATTTTAGGATGTTTATTAATTCAAAATTATGTTAATGAACTAAATAACTTTATTTATAATAAGAACAATGAAATAGTGGTTCCGTATAATCTAACACAATTAATTTGTTCAAATAATTTTGAATTATACAAAAAATTAAACTCGCATATATGTAAAATAGTACTTAAGATTTAAACAGATAAGTATTGACGCATTATAAAAATATATCCATATATGTATGTCCATAATATCCATCCCTATTGTGCATCCCAAACAATCCGTGGTCCTCTTGTTTGTTGTAGTCGCTCTGATCGACCCCTGAGCGCAAAAAGTGTCCCTGTCAAAAAAAAAAAAAACAAAAAAAAAACAAAAAAAAAAAAACAAAAAAAAAAAAAACAAAAAAAAAAAAAAAATAAAAAAAAAAAATTTGTAATTAAAAGTAAATATAAACGATGTATATAGTAGATATAAGATATAATTTTAAAAAATGTAATAATGTTTAAAAAATTTATATAAGGATGTTCATCCTTGAGCAAATTGTTAAGCTGGCGAATGGACTTAGTATCCGTAGCCAAGGGAAACCTAAACTTAATCACACACACATAATCATAATTAAATGAACGTGAGACATAGTAAATTTATATGGATTATCGTTTAAGATTTTTACTAAATTTTAAGAATAAAAGCCTGTCTTTTTATTACAAATTAATTAAATAGTATTTCAGTTATAAATACCATAGGTTTAGTCTTATTACAAATAAATCAAGTAGTGTTTTAGTTACAAATATCATTCGTTTATCACAAATAAATTAATAGTAATTCAATTATAAATGCCATGGTTTAATCGTGTTGCCTACCGTTAAAGTGTACACTAATCTCGTTAATCTCTAATTCTTTATTTCCTTTTGTCATCTATTTTACCTTTTATAAGTCCTGATAAATTTAATTATATTGTTTATTGACATTTTTCTAACCTGTTTCCAAATAACCATCACTGTTATTCAACTTGACAACTAGTAGCTACGTTTTTCAAGTTAATCTTATAAGTCCGTTCTTTCGAGGTGCTGGCTACACCAGTACCACTTCGAAGTGACTGGTATGGTTTCTCAATGGCCGACTCACACTTCCGTTTCTCGTCTTTTCGGTTTCAAGACTTTTGTGTTCTTTAGAGCACAGGCGGAAACGATCAAGACAAGGTAAACCATTTTATCTTTGGTTTTGGAGAGCTGAAGTCACTGGCGCATGGCGTTACAAATTTATTTTTTGGAAAAGGTAATTTCTTCTAAGGTAAATATTCCCTTTAAATTTATTAAATCGAGGTACAACTTTTCATTTTATTTTACAGATCAGGCGACCTAATAAAAATAATAACTAATAGTAAAAATAACTTTAATAAAAAAAGTCATAAAAAACTGCAAATGGCCCATCCATTGTGGGCCTCCTTTTGGCTTTTACGCATTATGCTTAAGAACTGGTTGTTTTCCATGTCCTGGGGACCTTCTTCAAGTATGATGTGCTTTTGCTGCTTCTGCTGCTTTATGAGCCTTTTTGGTTTGCTGTCCTCAATGGGGCCTAATCTTGAAGAAACGCTAATTGAAACTATGTACAGACGAGAAGTCTACCCATCCTAGTGTGGAGTTGTTTTTTTTGTGCTAGCACAAGATTTTTTGGTGAGTTTCACCCAAATTATTTGAGTTGTAATTTTTTTTTGGTGCCACATTAAAAATTGACCTTTAAGTTTGAAGTGCCAGGCAATGCCTATTTTTTTTTGTAACTAAATTTTATTTAGTTTTTTTTATTCACACAAAAATGTTTTTTAAAAATTGATTTAAGTATTATTCGTTATAACATAGTTTGAACCGAATACAGCTGTAGGAGGGGGCATAACGATTTAAAAAACTTATGTACATATTTTCTGATAATTATTCAAGCCACTCATGTAACCGTGGACTTGTAGATGTATTTAAAAATTTAATATAGAAATATTTTTTATAAAACCCTTTGAATGTTAAAAAACTGTAAATCAGCAGATACTAACTTTAGTTAGGAGTAGACATCTCTTATTATTTTGAAAAATCATATTCACTTTCAACATCGAGTATTGGAACTTTTATTTGTTCGCCTAAAGGGCAATAAAGAATTTGTAGAAAAATCTAGTTGTTTTGATTTGGTCTTTGTTTTTTTAGTTTCTATAAGATCAAAATTAAATGGCGTCCACTATTAAAAGTTTTCAGAACCCACGAACCCTGCTACCAGGCTATAGAGCTGTCGTGCTCTTGTTACCTTTCGTTTGCCTATGAAAACCGTCTCAAAAAGGGAACAAAAAGTGTTACAGGGGCACTACTAAACGAAGTGGATGGAATAAAGAAGAAAAACAAGGATCTTCTTCTAAACTAATTTAAAATGGGCTTAAGGAAGGATCTACTAGAGACAACAAGAGTTCTACTACTAAAAGAAGAGGATTTGGACCTGGAGAAAGCAGAAGAAATAGTTTCACTACAGGAAACAACAATGTTACTCATAACAGGAAAAAGTAACAGCCATAGGGTAGCATTTATGGATGGATTCAAGGAATGTCATTATTGCAGAAAACAAGGACACGTAGAAGCAGAATTTAGAAGTAAAATCCAGGACAATATGGGAAGAACAGGAGACAGATCCTGTTTTTATTGCGGAAAAAGTGGACACTGGGTTAGAGACTGCAGAAGCTAGGCAGCGGAAGAAAATAGGAACAAATGGCAGAAAAAACATAAGTTTCAACCAATTAACGGAAACAACGACCAAGGATGATCCCACAGCAGACACAACAATAAATACAGATATCAAACACGAAGAAGCGACGCATACGAGGAGGGAACGAACCGTACACAGAGGGACTTTTCGAGAGCGTCACACTAAAGAAATCTAGGATACGATATGGATAAATACAGAGAAAACAGAGACAAACACTCCAGAGATTTTAGAGATACAAGAGATTCCAGTGTTTCCATAGATGCCGAGCAGCCAGAGATGTCAGAGAAGCCAGATATTCCAGAGATGCTAGAGAGGCCAGTTATTCCAGAGATTTTAGAGATGCAAGAGGTTCCAGTATTTCCAGAGATGCCAGAGCAGCCAGAGATGCCAGAGAAGCCAGATATTCGAGAGATTCTAAAGATGTTAGAGAAGCCAGTTATTCCAGAGACGACAGTTATTCCAGAGATTCAAGAAATGGAAGAGATTCCAGTATTTCCACAAATGCCAGAGAAGCCAGATATTTCGGAGATTCCAGAGAAACCAGTTATTCCAGAGATTAAAAAGATGCCAGAGAATCCAGAGATGTCAGAGAAGCCAGATATTCCAGAGATTCAAGAGATGTTAGAGAATCCAGAGATGTCAAAGAAGCCAGATATTCCAGAGATTCCAGAGATGCCAGAGATGCCAGAGAAGTCAGTTATTCCAGAGATTACAGATATTTCAGAGCTTCCAGGGATACCAGAGATACCAGAGATACCAGAGATACCAGAGATACCAGAGATACCAGAGATACCAGAGATACCAGAGATACCAGAGATACCAGAGATACCAGAGATACCAGAGATACCAGAGATACCAGAGATACCAGAGATACCAGAGATACCAGAGATACCAGAGATACCAGAGATACCAGAGATACCAGAGATACCAGAGATACCAGAGATACCAGATATACCAGAGATAACAGAGATTGCAGAGAACAAAATTCCGGAACAAGGCAATCGACAAGAAGGAAGACGGGAAAGCATCAACTACAGTTCCGATCATTTAAACTAATAAAAACCACTGTAACTCCCCGATCAAGTGTTTTTGCAGGATTGCACGGGAGACAAAATGAGCAAGCAGAACCAGATAGATGGGTCCGACAAAACAATCGAACTCTACAATAAACGGCAAATTTTCAGGAAGAAGGACGATTCACAAACTGTAGGAATTTTGACAATGGATGTATGACGACACATTTCTAATGAGCAACCCGGGTATCCCGTTTCGCAACATTCGCGCGTCACAATCATTTTTGGGACGTAGGAATACGGTCGCTAGGCAAGTTGTTGTTTGGGCAGAAGTCAACGAAAAAAGTCATTCTTTTAATCTCAATATTTTATATTCAAAACCCTGTATTAAATAATACAAAGAATAGTTGTTAATGTGTTCCCGTTTCTGTTCATGGTAATATACGAATACAAAAGTTCGCAGTTTTATTTTATTGACGCAGCTAGAGTTAAACCAAAACCGAGCTGTGGCCAGTTTAAGAACTGGCACTCGTGATGAGGATGTAGCCAGCAGCATCATCCCCAGTCACAAACGATAAACAAATGCAGCATACAGTGAGACTGTATCACAATGAATCGACAGAAGAAGTTTTAGGCGAATCCCCGTATATTCTAAAACTAAGGGTCAAAGATACAAAGAGACCATGTATGATTGATACAGGAAGTGCCTTTTCCTTATTTAAGTTTTCACTAGTTTCACACAGAGACATATGCACGCAGATGTGACAGACAACTTGACGTTACAAGGAATTACAGGGCATACAATAAAATTGTACGGATCAGTTCAAATCAAATTATCGACAGATGCAATGGTAAATGAACATAGGACCGAGGTAATAGCTTGCCAGGACCAATTCATGGGGGAAATAGCAGTACTACTGGGAAGAGACTTTTTGGGAAAAGAAGAGGCAGTGATAACATACGAGGACGAGCCAGCACTATATATTTGGGGTCAGAAGCTGAAGTTACTTAAAGCAAGCGAAGTAGAGGCAGCACTAAAAAGACAATACAAACCACGTGTAGGAGACGAAGAAGTACGAAGGTGTCCCAACAATGTAAGTCAGATACGACAGGAATCCTAACCCGAAGAATCAAATTCAGACTGGAGAGAATGGAAACAAACGGTATACCAAGTTATAAGGGGAAGAAAAGAGCGACGCAAAGAGAAAAATCCAATAAGAAAGCAAGCAGCGAGCCAAATAAGAGAAACGGATCACAGGACGACACAAGAAAAACCTAAAGCATGGGAACAATGGTTGAGAAAAGTTGGAGAAATCATGAAAAAACAACAAAAACCTATGAAAAAAATCACGAAAGAGCCAAAGGAAGAAAAAGAAGAAATAAACGATAACCAAAAAGAACTAGAAAAACAAGCAGAGCAAAGACAGAATGAGAGGCAAAATACTGACATCATAATGGAAGAAGAAATAATTATACCAGGACGAACAGAAGTACATACCACTGGAAAATTGAAAAAGAAGTTAACAGGAAAAACAAATGTATGCGAAACACAGGACAAATGATGACAAGATTAGCAAATAGCGTGACGAGTAATACAGAAAAAATACCAATAAGAATAATAAATACATCATTCAAAGAAGTTACACTGAGAAAAGGAAAAAAATAGGAATAGCGTACAAATGCGATGAAAAAGAGGAACCAATGACAAAACAACAAGAAACTATGGCTTGTTTCGATAATTTCAACGACTAATAGATCCAGAACTCTGAACCAACCAAACTACTAAGAAAATACCACTTCTTGTTCACAGATGACGAAGACATCTTGACAAGCGCATCAAAGGTCAAACACGCAATAATATTAGAACCAGGAGCACAGCCAATATGCAAAGCACCGTACAGGATACCCTACCAACAAAGAGAGGTTTTACTGAAAGAAGTAGACAGATTACTAAAAGCTAAAATCATCAGACCTTCATCAAGTTCATGGTCAGCCCCTGTAGTATTAGAAGTAAAAAAGAATGCAGAGAGAAAAGAAAAAGTAAGAATGTGCATAGATTACCGAGGACTAAATGCAGTTCCACAGAAAGTACTATCCACTTCCGAATATTTCAGATTTGCTACAGAGCTACAACGCAGAAGGACAACCAATCTTCTCAGTAATAGACGTCGTAGAAGCATACCACCAAATCAACATGAGCGAAAAGGTCATTCCACTAACGGGTTTCAGCACATTCCAAGGACATTTCGAGTACACAAAGATGCCTTTTGGGTTAGTGAACGCTCCAGCCACATTCCAACGCTTCATGAATATCACACTCGCAGGACTTACAGGATTAAACTACATGGTATACCTGGACGACATAATAATTTTCAACCCGGACGAAGGAATGATGCACGTCAATAAATAGGAAGAAGTTTTCCAAAGATTAACGAACGCAAACATGAAATTGAAGCCAAAAAATGCAATTTTATGCTACCGAAAGTGAAATATTTGGGACGCGTTATCTCCCAAAAAGGAATTTCACCGGATCCAGAAAAGTTAAAGGCTGTACACAATTATCCATTGCCAAAGAATGTCAAAGGAGTACGGGGATTCCTGGGCCTTGTTAATTGGTATAGACGATTTATCCCGAAGGTCACCGAAATCGCAGCACCACTAGTCGAACTTACGATGAAAGAAAAGAAATTAAAATCACAGAAGAAGTGATACCTTCAATGGAGAAATTAAAGAAATCTCTGACGTCAGAAAATCTACTAATATTCCCAGATTTCACGAGGCCATTTATTCTATCAACAGACGTATCAAATATCGGAGTAGGAGTAAGCCAAATAAAAGACGGAAGAGAAAGGCCAATCGCATATTCAAGTAGGAAGCTGAGCAGAGCAGAGATGAACTATTCCACTACGGAGAAAAAATTGCTAGGGGTCATTGACGGAGTCAACATATTCCGATGCTATGTTTACAACACAAAATTTACCATAATTACAGATCACAGAGCGCTGAAATGGATACTATCATTAAAGGACCCAAACTCCAGGCTAACCAGATGGGCATTGACCTTAGCAGAGTACGAATTTAAAGTTATCCACCGACTAGGAAAGAAACATGGCAACGCAGATGCACTCGTGGACCCGACTACGAAGAATACGTTGAATACAAAAAACAGAATTTTCACATTCCTACTAGCGAAAATATCGTAAGAAAAGAAGGAAACATTCTTACAATCCCAGACAATCAGACGATAGCCGTATTCATCCCAAGAGAGAGGATAGCACGAGATCAAGTGGTAAAGGCAATCCAGGAAACGTACGGACAACCCACAATAACGAGAGATCAATTACTAGAGAGAATCATAAAATGGAAGACCGCCGATAGACGAATATACTACATGATAAACCGAGCGACACCCGAAGACGAAACGTCGTACGAATCAACCTAGGAATGCTTAAAAGAATTAAGAAAACTCGCAGAACTAAACGAAGATCCCATAATCACACTTTTCAATACGAAAACCCAAGTAGAAGGATTAGCATGGGAGGAAGTGGAGCAAATGATATACTTCATGTTGTACGGAAGTCAATTAAAGATAGATATAATTACAGAAACACTAAAAGATAATAATATAAATGCAATAAATGTACACGAAGCAAACAATTGGGAACCAACATGGGACAGACTCACTAAACGAAGCACAACGACGAGACGAGTACTGTAAGATAATAATCCAAAAGTTAGACAATGAAGAAGAAGATATAAAAAATAAGTATTACATAGACAAAGAGGGAATACTATACTAACAAAACAATGGAGAAGGACAAGACAAACCAGTGAGTCCAAAGAAGTTAATAAAGAAAGTGATGGAAGACTTTCATGACACCCCATTATACTGCCACCAAGGTCAACAAAAGACGCTACTATCCATTAGGAAGAGGTTTTTCTGGCCATCCATCCAAAAAGATGTCTTCAGATACTGCACAGAATGCGACGCATGCAATAGAACGAAGTCGTCACCCCACATGAAGAAATCCCCGCTACAGAAGATCACAGCTGTAATGGAAAATCACGTCAATGGACATAGTTGGACCATTAGTAACTTCAGATAATGGAAACAAATACATCCTGACATTCCAAGATCATTTTACAAAATACTGCGAAGCAATAGCACTACCAGACCAGAAGGCCCAAACAATAGCGAAAGCATTCGTTGAACAAATAGTATGTGGACATGGAACACCGACGAAACTACTCACCGACAGAGAAGCAAATTTCTTATCAGAAGTAATGAAAGACACCTGCAAATTATTGAATATAAAAAGGCTCCACACATCCAGTTACGCACCGACGACAAATGTCCAAATATAACGCATGCATAGAGTGCTTAAAGATATGTTATCCCATTACATATCACCAAATCAAAGAGACTGGGACCAACGGCTACCATATGTTCTAATGGCTTATAGAGACAGTATCCATACATCAACAGGATACAGCCCATATTTCCTACTACACGGAAGAGAGCAAGAACTACCAATAGACGAATTTATCTGACCCAAAAAATCAAAATACGACATAGGAGATAACTACGTGTCAGAACTAAAAGCCAGATTAAAAGATATCTACCAAAAAGTACAAGTAAATAAAGAAAGAGCTAAAGAAAACAGAGTCCAAAGCTTAACGAGAATACTCAAGAAAGAGAATTTTAAGTGGGAGATCTGACATTCTAGACATTAGCAGCAAGGTGGACATCTCAAAGAAGCTGAGAAACAGATGGATCGGAACATGCAAAATTATGGAAAAAATCGGACCAGTCAACTATAGAGTATTACCGCCAAATGGAAGAGCATCACAAGTAGTACACATAAATAGACTAAAACGGTACTACGGGAAAGAAGATGACGAACAAAATAAGCACATGGAAGAGCCAGAAAAAGAAACAATAATTGAAGAGACTGAGAACAATCAGGATGTAGAAATTTCAAGGGTAGCCACATTACCGACCTGGATAGAAAGAAAACAGGAAGATGCGGGACAATCAACAAT